TTCTAAGTATCAAACTCTAAAAATTTTTAATTCAATTTTTTAATTTTGTAACTACATTGTGATGAATTTGTAACTTATTTTTCAAATTTTAACATGGTTAAAAAAATATAATTTTTCCTATTAAAATTTAGAATATAAGTTGCAAATTTATCACAACATAATTATAAAATTGAGAGATTAAGTTACAAATTCTTAAAATTTGTCACTTAAAACCTAACTTGAATTAATTAATCTTTTTAAAAATTTTTTATCATTTTTTTTAAAAATAAACATATAGAAAAAGATAGCTTTCCTCTTTCTCTTACAACTTGAAATGTCCTTGTCCCATGTCTTGTGTTTAGTGGGAACAGGAAAGTGTGAAATTTTATTCGGTAGTATTTGGATAAGTGAATTTAAATTTAAATTTTATATTTAAAATTTTACATTTAAAATTTATATATTTAGAAATTTTTATTTGGAGAGTTTAAAAATTTCAAATGAAAATGATAAATGAGTTGAAACTCAAAACGAAAATAAAAATTATAAATTATAAATTTACTTATATTATATTTCAATTAATAAAAGATAATCAATAATAAAAACTCGACAAGAATAAAGTGTTTGAAGTAAGGTGAATTTTAAATGATATAAAAAAAATGTAACTATAAAGAAAAAGTAATATGAAATGGAAACTTGTGGACCAAAATGAGTAATCTAATCCAAACCCAAATCCCTTCTAATCCAAACATGCTATTAGGCTAGCTTACACTGTTTGAGAAATGGAAGCTTGATCACAGATTTATATTGTATCTCTTCCATCATATGACATTCCAATAATTTAATCTAAGACATTAAAATACATTAGGAATTAATTAGGATTATTGTGATGTTAAATTTTGAGGACTTTAGATTAAGTCATCAATTTTTTAAAAAAAAATTATGAATAATTGTGGTTAGGTGAAATTAAATTAAATTATTGAATATTTTTTCTAAGTTAACATAATATAAACATTTTAATATTACCAAGATTTTATTTGAACAAAACACTTAAACTTAATTCAATCTTTTAAATTTTGGAGAATCTAAAAATATATTTACAAACGCATATATATAGAGAGGAAGGAATTTAAGAAAAAGAAATTAACAAATGGGTTTTTAAATATATATATATATATATATAATAATGAGAGGGAAAAAAGGAAAGAAAAAAAGAAAAATGATAATAAAATCCTCTCAAATTATATAAATAATAATTTAATTTTTAAAAATATCATAATTTTACTGAAATTCTTAAAAACTTCTGTGTCAATATATTTTAAATTAAAAAGACTATTTTACTCTTAATGACAACTTGTTATTTCTTATGATTTTTTAAATAAAAGTTATTATTGTTTAAATAAAAATTGTGATTAGAACTTGTTATTTTGCAAATTACACTTAATAATTTATGATTTTTTATTCAACTCTTACAATTTACAAAATAAAAGTTGTTATTTTTTAAGTAAAAGTTATCGTTGAGACTTGTGATCTTGAGAACTTGTTTTTAATAATAGAAACTATACTTGATATGTTGTGATTTTTTATTCAACTTTTACGATTTATAAAATAAAAGTTGTTATTTTTTAAGTAAAAGTTATATTAGAATTTGTTATTTTTAATAAGAATAAAATATTCTTATCATTTTAAAATTTATTGATATAAAATTTTTTTAAATACTCCAATAAAATTATGATATTTTGAATGGCTAAATTATTATTTATATAATTTAAGAAAATTTTATTCTCATTTAAAAAAAAAAGAGGGGGAATCAATTGTTTTTTGTTTTTAATAATGGGCCCCAACCCTTGACACCTCACAAAAGGCGTCAAAGCCTTCCCCCACTTCCCATTCTTTTATTCTGCACACCTGAGAGAGACGAACAGGAGCGTCCGCCTCAGGGAGTAAATTTCAAAAATTAGATTACATTATAAGAAAAATGACCGTTAGGTCCCTAAGTATTAAATTAATGACGATGAGGTCCCAACAAATTTTTTTTAAATTAAAAATATAGATCAAAATTATTAAAAATTCAAAATTTTTAATCACAAATAAGTATTTAAGTATAAAATATAACTCTTAGATTGTAATAAAATTTTTTGTTTGTATTTGTTTAAATTAATATTTATAATTCATTTTGTAAAAAATTTATTGAAAACCTAACTATCATTAATTTATTTTTTTTAAGATTTAAATGTCATTCTTCTCACATTATATTGTACTTTTAGTGTGATTTGAAATTTTTTAAATAAATTTTTGAGTATATTTATTTATTTTATTTTAAAATTCTTGACATTGAAAAATTTAGGATTTCCTATAATTTCAAATTTATAGTATTTTTGACTATGGGGGAAGTTTTGATTGAAATAAATAGATAAAATGTAGTTGTTAAGAGTGTATTATTATTGCTAAAATAGTGGGAATGAATTATTTAAGTATTTTATCAAATGTTTTTATTGACTTGAGCAAACCTTAGGTTAAAAATGATTAATGTGAGGATTATATTAATGGTTAATGGGTTTAGTTAGACTCATTATGTTCTAATGAGGCTAATGAAACCACTAGATAGCAAAGTTATTTATTAAATTGAATTTTGATTTTTTTGAATAAAATGGGTAGTTAAAAAAAAGGTGAAATTAGTATTGTATTAATGTTTTTGAGTTGTCTAATTATAGACTAAACTCTTTTAAACTCTTGGAGTATTTGAGAGCTTGGAATTAGATTAAACCTATGGGTATCTTTTTTGAGTGACTCAGGAGGTAAAGGTAATTAGAAACTTAAATTTCTTTATATGCCTATTTAAGTATTTTTGTAGTATTAAAAAATTATGAAATGTATGATATATATGAAAATGCTCTTTGGATGTTTTAGCAAATGAGCAGAGTTGGTGTGAATTTAATTGTGAAAAAAATTGTGATTCAGTTGTGTAAATTATGTATATTGATTATTATGAGCATGGCGTGTGGTGTGTGGAGAAATATACCTATATTTATGAACCTGCGTATGATGATTGAAGTACGGACAAGTTGGCGTATGATGACATAACTTTATGCATGTTGACTCGAGAACATTGATGGCATAGTTGCAAATTAGAATGGATGAGAATTTATCTTAGTTGGGAGGTAATTATATTGCAAGTCTGCATGGCATGGATGGCATGTAGATAGCTCTCAATATTGGATAGATATGGCACCTGCTCCAACAAAGGTTTGGTATGAATTTGACTTAGTTGATGATACTCACTCTGAGAATGGGTATATATTACTAGCAGTAAATATGACACTCTATGGGAATTTAATTAATAGAGAAGTCCATGGTTCAGTTTACACCTCTCTCTCACATTGTAAAGTTTGGAATTGTCTAGTCACACAGATAGGTCCTATTATAAGATTATAGGCTATGGACTCAATCAAAAGAGATAAGGGAAAAAATTAATTAATCATGCATATTTAAATATGTTACTTTGATATGTGATTGCAAATTGCCTGCATTTCATGCCCTTTACTTATGCTTCTATTTGTTAAAAGTTAAAATTTTTTAGTTATTGAGATATTTATCTTACACCATATTTAACATTTTACATGTGAACAAGGGAAAAGAACTAAAGGCAATAACTAATAATTATATTAATAATATTTCTTATGTAGAGAACTATTGTCTTACATTTATGTATTGCTAGCATAAGGACACATTGTGCATTTAAGATTGTATTGAAATTATAACTGTGTTATTGAATTCGTGACTAATTTGCTAACTATCTAGCCAATTTGGTGAACCATGCTTATGATAGCTTGTGTTATGGCTAGCAAATTTTATTGTGAGAAATTATACTTAAGATATTATTAAATATTGTGGGTCTAGTCGAAAGGTAAACCTAAGCCTTTGGGTCCTATAATATAATTAGAAAATATTGAGATTAATATTTATGTGATCTTGAGTGGGACTTGTATGTAATTTGTTCAAAGTTTTCTTTTTTTTTTCTATCATGATAGTGGCTAACTTAAGACATTAGTTTTAATTAACATGATAGTGTAATTTAATTAGTGGGTAAATTGTGTGGTCATTGTACATCCTATTCCCATCATCAACTTCCTTGTATTTTTTACATGGGTTAAGAGTAAAAATGCTCTGAAAGTTTTTTAAAAAGAGCATTAAATATTCTTATCTTTTAGTTGAAATAAATTTTTCCTAAAACTTCAAAAAAATAATCAATTTCGCCCCACTATAAAATACAGGAAACATTGACTATTAAAATCAAAATTGGACCAAATGAAAGACAATTGGTGCTCATTAATTTGTCTTAGGTTCTCCCTCCTCTCAAGTATTCCTCTTCCCATCTTCTTTCCTATTCCTTGGTCCATAAAGTTATTTCATACTTAGCACAAATCAATGAGCGTCGCCTGTTCTTCATTTGGTTAAGTTTTAATTTTAAGTAACGGTGGGATAAAATTACTTCATTTTTAAAGATTTTGAGATAAAATTGCTTTAATTAAAAGATAAAGATAGTCCGTGCTAATTTAAGATTTTTTTTTTGGCTTCAAGCGTAACCTTTTTTACATCTATTGCTTTCGTATCAATTGATTTGGCTCTGACTTGGTTTTGGTTATTGAACGTTTCTCATAACTTCGTCCAACGTTCCATTTCATCACATCACAATCCAAGGAGTCAAACCTCAATGTGTATTATATTAAATTGTGAAATTGACTACACACCTCGGCTACTAAATTGATTGATTGTTCACTATTGGAGATTATTAAATTATTCAAATGTAAACAGAGTTAAACTAATATTACAAGTCTGATATTATATAAAATTTAGCTTCACTGTTAATATAAAGTAAAGATGAAGAATTCATAAATTTAAAGTTTAATTTTTAAATTAAAATATAATATTATTTCTACCATTTACTCACTGAATTAGTACTTTGTTCCTCATCAAACACACGTGTAGTTCAAGCATTGGGATTCCGATATGGAAACAGGATGAGGAGTTCTAGGGTAAGATGAATAACAAGAACTCAGGTAATTTCCCAGCATTTTTACATAAAGAATTAAGAGCCTTTAATCAGATTAACAAAAGAAACGAAAGAATCAATTGCTATTAACTTAATACTCTCCAACCCATATCGCTAATCCCTCTCATCATTTACACCCTATTTCACATATATTTTTACAACACGAAGGAAAAAAAGAATAACAAAATCATCATAGCCCCCACCTCCCTTCCCTGAGAGAGGAAGCCTAAACCTCATGCATGGGACGTTTTCCACGAGCGTCAATTTCTCGAGCAGCAGCGGAGCTTGTTGCCGGTGTTGATGCAGTGGTGGTACAGTTATTGCTAGAGTCAGAAGTACGAGAATCAGAGTCACCACCAGAAGTACCGGCTGTGGTAGAAAATGCAGAGGGCCTGCGAGGTCTTCTGTATCTGGAACCAGGCGCTCCTGGTCTAGTCGGCTCTTCCATGTGGCCCGGCTTCTTCGACAGCATCACCACCACCCGCCGCATGTTTGGCCGGAGCCGCGGATCCCCTTGAACACATAGCAGACCCAGTTGTATGCACATTGCTACTTGATCTGTTACTGCTGAAGCTGCTAACGCAGGGTCAACCATTTCTAAGCTCCTCCCTTTCTTGTAAAGCTTGTAGGCCTGAACAAAGGCAACATGCTTGTTAGCCTCTTAGGCAATGTTTGATATGGAAGCTCCATTCACAGTTGTTCCCTGACACATGAAAAAAGGCCACTGTGGCTGGACTGCAAAGTTGCTGCTTTTTAATTTTGTTTTTTACCCTATAAGAAAGAAACATTCTAGCATTTGGTCCAACCTTTCAACAAAGGTATAGCAATGAAATTAATGTTTTGATTTAACATATGCAATTGCTTATTAAATCGGGTACATTTACCATAAAGAGGAAAAAAAATAACTTTTACTTAATACTCCTTACAAGAAAAGTTACCATTTCTCGATATTTTATTGTAGCATAAACTTTATTATCATATTAAAAATATTTTAAGGAAATTTCCACCTTTTTGGCAGAAGAAGGAAACAAAAAAGCAAATCCCCTTTCAACAACTAAAAAGTTTAATTATTTCTTTTATTTGTGTGCAAATTGTCAAAACTTACAGTTAGGTTTCTTGGAGACTTCTCAAGATGCGTTTAGTCTGTCTTTTGAATTTTCTTTTCTCAAAGGCTCGATGGTATCAAAGTCATAAACGCTATATATGCATGAACACAGGACGAAGTAATTAAAAGTTGGGCAAATTGGGTTTGAATTTTGGGACCTGTTCTTATTGTTGGAGCATGAATGTTATGCGGTTATGAGCATCCCTAACCATAAATTAATCAAACAAATAAAAAAGCCACTTGAAAAACGGAAAGGTCAAAAGCCTACACCTAAACCCTCACAAAAAAAGCCAAAACATTAGATAATTCAATCTTACCCAATCAAGCAGATTATGTGCATCCACCTCAAGGCTAAACGCTGAGTTTCTTTGGCCACTTATCAGCTCCAGCACCAAAACCCCATAGCTAAACACATCTGCCTTCACTGATAAATGTCCATGCATCACATACTCTGGAGCCATATATCCACTGTATATTTCACAATTTTATAAGATAGATATCTACTTAAATCACGTGACCATGCTAACTCCAATTTTAATATAGTTAACAATAGAGGTTTTGATACTGTTCATAGATTGTCAATTACTGAATCTTGGATTTGCTGCTTATTTTTCAAAGTTTGGTAGGGTATTATAACCAAAACTTGTTTCCATCAAACAATATGAATTGAAGAGGTCAAAGTTGAAAAGTATACTTGGTGCCAGCCACCCGTGTATTGACATGAGTCTGATCCTCAGGGAAGAGACGAGCCATGCCAAAGTCTGCAATCTTGGGCATCCATTTATCATCAAGCAAGATGTTACTGGCCTTGATGTCTCGGTGGATGATGCAGCTATGCGAGTCCTCGTGAAGATAAAGTAAACCCCTTGCTATGCCTGTGATTATGTCAAACCTCCTTTTCCAATCTAGCTGCTGTCTTCTGTGGGATTCTGCGATAAAATAACATCACGTTCTCTATCAAACTCTGTCTAACAGACGGACAAAAGAACACAGTACGGAAAGCACTAAATGTTGACATGTCCAACATAGATACTGCAGGTCAATGGTACAGAGGTCAGGTCCAACAATAGCAAGGAAATACTTTAGAAGTTCAATGCCATTAGCCCTTAAATTGCGTGGAACTCATACTTAAACAGGTTTATGCTGACTCCTTACACAAGCAACTAGCATAATACATTTTCTTGAAAACTTCACCCGAAAACAGAAACAATACCCAACAAGCTTTGATGCATGCCATCCATCTAAAGTTGTGTTGTTTGTGATTGTAAGAATTCGAAATTTTGACATCAATCAATCATAATCTTTCTCACCGTCACTTCCCAATGTAGAAGTAACAGTGATCCGCATGACCATCAAAACTCTAAATTATAACTTAACAGATTAAGTGACACCAATGAAAACATATTGGGAAAAAAATGAAAAGAGAGAGTGAAATTGAAGGGTCCCCCCCCCCCTCTAATTAGAGTTATGATGGGTGTGCAAAGATCAGTCAAAATGGGTGCTCGGTTAAGCACAATTTTATCTGCGCAATTAATGCATCCAATGAGCAATTCAATGCATGTAAAGTCGATTTCTAAACTCTTAATCTTAAATGCCGTCACTTTCAGAGTTCCCGGGAAATAATTTACTCAAAAGTTGAAGAAAGGAAAAGATGGATGGCCTAAGGTTCACGGTGTTCAAAGGCAAATACCAAATTGCCGCAGTCAGCTTACCCAGCTGAAAACGAAATTGAGGTAAAAACCCCATAACTTCAACGTTGATATAATTTGGGCCTCGAAGTTAACCTAATTGAGCAATAAGCAAGTATGGAATTAAATTTAACTTCTCTCGTTGGAGGAGGTATAGAAAAAGAAAATGAGAAAGAAAGATACTACAAGAAAAGTTCTGTAAAAATGAATACCAGGTTAAATATCTGTGGGCCAAATAATATGTTTTACATTTCAAAATCCGAGACAATGAATGCAAGTTCTGCATTCATTCTCACAAACAAATACAATTTACGAGGATTTCATTCATCTATGATGTTATTGAACAGGAGAAGGAACAGGAAAACTTACTGAATAGAAGTTTGTCAAGGCTCTCATGAGCAACATACTCATACACAAGTAGCTTCTCCGTGCCATGGACACAATAACCCAACAAATTCACCACATTCCGGTGCTGCACGCGAGCCAGCAACCTGGCCTCGTTCACGAACTCTTTGTTTCCTTGATTTGAGCTTTGCGATAACTTCTTCACCGCAATCTCTCTTCCATCGTCCAACTTCCCCTGCAAGTGCAAAAGGAAAAGAAAACCAAAGAAGATAAAAACCCACAAGTTAGAATAAGTCTTAGGATTTCAGTTTACCGAGTAAAAAAAAAAAAAAAACTCATTTTTCTGTGAGACATTTTATCAAACATTAAAGTTTCAGGAATTGACCAGCGAATTCCTTGTATCCAATCTCGATTGGGTGGAAAAATACTTTCCAAAAATTCAAAATCGTCAAACCGCTCGAGTTCATTTTCAGAAACTTGAAGTGATTGAATTTTTCTCAGCCATAGCAAGACGAAGAAAGAATTCTTCCCGCTCAAATTTATCTCACCAGCTTTTCCTAGCAACCAAACACAAATAATTGGTGAAATTCCTCGTCGATCGTACCTTGTAGACGGGTCCAAAACCTCCCTCGCCAAGCTTGTGATGAGAATGAAAATTTTTGGTAGCAGCAACTAACGTTTCATAGGGAAATATCTTTTGCTCCTGGGCAGCAATCCTCTCTAACTCTTCTTCGTTGCTTCCCTCTGATCAACCAAAACCCAACAAAAACAGTAAGACTATCAGAATCAAGCACCCAGCGAACATAAGATGAAATAAAAAGGGAAAAAAAAAAGAAGGAAGGAATTATAATTTATTTACTAGAACCAAATTTGAAGGGTTTAATCAAATTATGAAGAAAACTATGAGTATGAGATTTGGTCATGGCGCTTGTGGTTCCCAAAACCAGCCCATGAAACAAAGAACAGAGTAATCCGGAATCCCCCAAGCCAGAGTAGCAGTCCTAATCACCGTTCACTCTGAGATTGATTTAGCGAGGGAAATGAGAAATGGAGCAGAGAAGGGGGAAACTGGGAAAGGGAAGGATGAGGAAGATGAGAGATGAAGAGAGTTTGTAGCGTTCGGAGAACATAACAAATAAAATCTGGAATACGAAGGAAAAAGCAAGCGTGTTTGTTGACCAAGTGACCCTTGCTTGACTTGATGCTGATGCCATAAGGCGAAAAGTCAAGGCCCATGGTAATTCACTTCACATTAATCTCTCCAAATACAGAGCGAGCAGCCATTATTACATTTCTCATCACCAAAATTAAGGGGAGCAAAACCAAACTAAAATCAAATCGAATTAAATTTTATTTATTTAATTTAATTTATTTGATTTTTTAATTTAATTTAATTTTTTTTATTTTAAATATTTTGATTAATCGGTTCGATTTGATTAGTAAAATTTAAAATCGAATAGACCGAACAGACCGAATTATATATAATTTATTAATTTATAAATTATTTTATTTTTATTTTTATTTTTTATTTTAATAAAGAATAAAAAATAATAACATTACTTGAAACCCCATTTCAATCAGTCACTCTCATCAGTCGGTGTTGTGACTGGATTATGAGTCCATTATTTGATCATCGGTGTTTATTTGTAATTATTTATTTGATTATCCATGCCTTTATAATATTTGAGCTTTATGTCATATGAGTGTAATTAAAATGGACTCATATTGAAAAAAAAATGAATAGAAAAAAAGTTTAATTTTATAGTATTGTTTGTTTTAATATTTAAAAAATAGGTTCAATTTTAATAGCTAAATATAAAACCAAAAAATTGAATTAACCGACCAAATTGAATTATTAAATTTTAATTCAGTTCTTATTCGATTTAATTCGCTTATTCGATTCAATTTAATTTTTATTTTTAATATTATTTAATCGATGTATTTTATATATTTTGAGACCAAATTAAATCAAACTGATTGATGTTCAGCCCTAACCACAACGGCCTGGCCACTTGCCCCATCATGAAAAGGCCTTTGTCCTCAACTCGTCATTTCGTGGGGTGCTCGTCACAGGACCCATGGGCCATCATTCTTCTTTGTTTCATTTCTTCTCTTCTGTTAACTTTACTTCTGTCAACTGTTCGATTGGATTGGCTTGAGTGACACATTGTAGATGGACGGTAAACTGTCATAGTTTATAAATGGAGAAACTGATGCAGAGGTCCCGAACGGTACGGAGGTTCAAAAGAATGATTAATTTAACTTAAATTTCAAATAACAACTTATAAAAAATAATAAATTTAATTTTTAATTTTATAATTTTATTATAATAAATTTATAATTTATTTTTAAAATTTTAACATAATTAAAAAATAAATTTTATTTATTTTTTTATTAAAATTTAAAATACGAGTTGCATATTCATTATAATGAAATTATAAAATTGAAAGTCGAACTTATAAATTTTTTTTAAGTTGAATTAATTAATCTTTTTAGACCTCTCTATCATTCTCTTATATATATATATATATATATATTTAAATTTTGAATACTAAAAAACTTGATTAAAAAGGATAATGTTAAATCAACATTGTAATTTTTAAGTGGGAAAATATCATTCAAGGACCATTAAAAAAATTTAATATCAATTAAAGACCAAAAATTTTGAAATATCGCTACAAGACTAAGGGACTTATTTGAAAATAATTTTATATGAGAAAAGACTACAATACCTTGCCTTTTTTTATTGAAAAGAAATGATTAAGCCATTAATTTTATCCAAAAATATAATAAATTTTCAATTATACCCCTCATTTAAATGAAAATTTTTAAAATTTGATTATATTATCTCTTATAGTTAATAAGTTTAAAATGAGTAATGTTAGAAAAATAAAATTAATACTACTAGCACCTATAAGTGCTTTATGTTAAAGATCAATGAATCCTTCTAGAACGCGCCCTATAATGAAGACCAAAAGGAGTGTGTACATATATATATTCCCTTTGGTTTAAAATATAAGTATCTTTTAATAACAATTCATGTATCAATAAAAATTCTTATTCTTATAAAAATATATATCATTTTTATTTTTCACCCTTGGTTACAATTCATGATGAGTGAGAGGAAGGTCATAAATTCACATATATAGAAATTTAGGTTAATAAATATATAAGGCAAAATGAAAAATTTCGTTTACAACTACTAACTTGATTTTATTTGGAATCAATATTAATTGAAATAAAATGTTTATATTTTAGATTGGAAGGAATATATATATGTGTGTGCGCGCATGCATGCATGCATGTATGTTAGCATAGCTAGAGTCGAGGACGATGTTGCCCGCTTATTTAATTCTCTTTATGAGTCATTTCTATCAACTTTTTCAATACCAATTCAAAAAAGTATAAAAAATAAAAGTGTGAATTTCAAATATACCTCTATATAATAGGTCTAAAAAATAATATAATATTATTTTTTTCTTTTACAGAGTGTAGTTTTAAAAATATCTTTTAAAAATTACCTAAAAAGCTATACTATAATTTATAAATAAGGTCAAATAAACTTTCTAAAAGGTGCTTTGTAAATAACACCAGAAGGAATACATAATAGTGGACCATTTGAGGAGAGGGGATCTTTCTTTGTTGTTATCCTATCCTCAGAGATTGGTGGTAGCATGGAATGAAAAATTGGATCGAATTGGCCACTTCAACCAGTAAACCAGTGAACCGGTCAGTGGTCCAGTTTGATTTAAGCACTAACCCATTGTTAAATTAACCCAATTAATTTGGGGTTAATTGGAGATAAATCAAATAACTCATTGGATTGATTGGGTTGGTCGAGTTTAAAAAAAATTGAAACATCTTCCTTGTTCAAAGTCAAAATCAATCGATCCTTAGCCCCTAATTTTAGATATCCAAAATCCTGTTCGGCTCTCGCTGCTCTGTCCCTCTGAAACATCACCGTCTAGCCTTTGTCTCTCACTGTTCACTTTGTTTGAAAAACTCCACCTCACCGTCAATGCTAGTGTTGCTGTCTTCCATCGACGTTGTTGCTTCCCTTCACTTCAGCAGTTCAGCAACTTAGTGCTTGCCTCCTTGTCTCACCCCTGGTGTTCTCAATTGTGTGTCCACGTTTAGCCGTTTTTTTCTCGTTCAGTTGCTCATTGTGGCCTGTTGCTTCTAGTTTGAAGAAAGAAAGAAGAGGGAGGAGATGCATCATCGTACCCAATTTGCTTTGCTTTGGAGAAAGTTTCTCACTTTTTCTGGACTCTAGTCACCGTGATACGTTACACTTTTACTTTTAGAATAATAAATAAATTAAAAATAGCAAATAGATTTGAAAAATAAAAACTGACTTGACCAATAATAAAAAAGTTATCTGCCCAAGAAAAAATTGAGATAGGCAACTCAATAATGTGAGGGTGGTGGATAAAAGAGGACAACTAATAGATATATGTGCATCATTAATTGGTGGTGCACAGGGGCGGGAGGTTAGTAGCTCCAGCCTAAAAGCTAAAACAAATACTTGTCATGGCCAAAAAATTAATATTTTATATTATTAATATATCATATTTTGAAAACCTGCACGGTTTTACCTATAAATAAATTATTGTTTATTTTTATGTTATTATAGTCTTTCTCGTTTTGGAATAGTTCTTATCATCTTAGATAGTATAAATTATAAAATTGATGAAAATTTTAGTGTTTATAATTATTAATTTTAGGCTATTTAATGATTGACAGAATGAAAGGATAGATATTTAAAATGTTGTGTTTTATTATTGTTAGAATTGTTATTGTATATTGTATGAGATATTAAATTTTAAATATGAATAAATGTCTTGAGAACTAATGTGATTTTGTTTAAATTATTTTATTTTATTATGATCAGTTTGATTCTAATTTAACTCTCGATTGAACCACTAACTCTTAATCCAATACCTTAACTGATTCAAATTTCAATACCCTAATGGTAGACTTCTTCTTCTTTTTAATTATTTTTTTAAAATCCATCACAGGATGATGACCGGGAGGAGGAGACTAGGAGGGATCCTCTTCTCGGGGCTTTTGTCCCCTGTTAAATAAGGAAAAAGTTATAAAATGTCTACAAAAAATTTCAATTACCCCTTCTACAAATATTCGATTGCCTCCATTCGGGAAAAACGTTATTTGTCTCCTTGAAATTCTTCACTGCTCTCCCTAAAATTCATCTGATCCAAAAACTTATCTACTTATAATAAACTTAAATAAAAATAGTTTTAAAATGGAGGGAGCCATAATTAAAAAAAATAAATAATTTTTTTGAGGCGGTTTGGTTTATAACAAAAGAAAAGAAAGTAGATAAATTTTATTTAGTAAATATTAAAATTAAAGACTGCATTGTTTTCTAATATTTATAAAAATTTTGGTTTATAAAGACATTATCATTTTATATTTAATTTAATTTTAAAAATTTGGTTGTATAATTTTATGTTTTTTGAATTTATAATAAATTTAATGTTTAATTTAACTTATGAAATATTAAAATATTATTTTTAAAAGATATTAATATTTATTTTAAGTACAATTTTTTCTTCCAGATTAATTTTTTGGATCTGTCACTGGTCAAAAACATTTTTCCCGTAGGTATCTTAAAGTGGTTATTACAAAAGAAAATCTTAAAGTGGTTTTTATGTTGGTCATTGCTGACAACTTTATCTTTTTTTTTTTTTTTTTTCTGGCGAGCGCCCCTTCCAGCGAGCGAGAGGTGGTGATTGGTGAAGGTACATTAATTTTAAAAATGTTTGAATATGACATTATGCGCCTCGCCTACTCAGCCACTAGCAAATAGCTTGAGATCAATCTCTCTGTCAAATCGCACTAACGGTACTATTTAAAATTTGCGTGAGGGTTCGTTCATCTCCTATATTTTTCTTTAATCTGTCAAATTTACCCTATTTTCCAGCTGTCAAATTCGCCCTTTTTTCCAGCTGTCAAATTCATCCTTGCCACCCAAAAACAAACACAAAAGAAAATTCTTTTTTAATCTTGATAATTAACACTTCTCTAATTTTATCCATAAGATAAAAGAAAAAAAAATAATTTTATTTATAGGGCTTTGCCAATTTTCAACGCCTCTTTATATTTTATTTTTA